ATTGACTACCCAGGCAAAAAGGTGATTCATCTGAGATTCCGTGTTCGCCGAAGAGTTCGTCAGCCAATTACGAGTGAGTTACCTCAGTAGTCCCACGAATTGCGTGCTGGTCATTGAACTAGAAGTATCAGTGAGTTGCGGGTGACGTTTATCTGGCTGGGCTCTATCGGCTTTCACTGTCCGACCCTTGAAGGTTTGAAGTTTTATTTGGATGCCGGCTTGTGCGACCAGGTTGTCGATTTACCTACTCGAAGATCCAGCATACTTGAATGACTTTCCTGTCTGTCCCCTAACCGTAGTTTCTGAGCACTGACTACCACGCAGTTGTCTTAGCCATTGACGTCGCATCAGATCGCGTTCTGTTTTTAACTTTTCATCAGCCCGTTTGTAACACATACGTAAGACTTGCCTCTCACGACTTTTCTGTTTTTTTTTCCTTACGTAAATGTGAATTCTTACATTGAATGCATTACACAGTTCTGTAATCCGACAGCGAGGGCATTCCTCTCACCGTATGCCGTCGAGTGTAATCTGTCATTTAGTCCTCGTCTTCAAAAGGTTATTTCACTTCTACTGTAATTCTTCGCATTTCTGAAAGAACTAGGATTTTGCCGGAAAAACGGCCTGATGCTAAGACGAAGTTTGTGTAAGAACTCCCATCAGATTTTTCAAGACTCTTTCCTCGCAGACTAGCGGCTGGCAGAAAAATTCTGCATTTCGTCTCTCGGGATGCACTAAGGAATTCAATGACCAGTGCTAAAAAACTCTCTTAATAACTCTGAACGTTAACTGCTCAATTATCCAGAATTTTCCACAGTCACATAATCCTTGCCCAGATGGCGTCCCAACAGGCATTTTAAAGACCGTTTCATGTGACAACCCTCTTAGGCTAGATACTAAACTTTTCCCAAGGAAATGAAAGTTTTTTTCTGGGGAATTACATGTCGTCTCCGGCCTCTTAATAATTTCCAACCAACAAATAGTGCCTGGCCTTTCTCAAAAAATGTTAGCTGAAATTCTATAATGTGTTTTCAATTTAAAAAAATCACTTAAGTGGGGTTGTTATACTGGTTATCCGGAAACACATCAGGATGTTGGCTTTCGGATTTACTTCTTTTCAGCTGCCTGTAGAAAACACACTGGGAATAATAAGACTAGATGAGTAGTATGAATGTGCCCATTACTTTTTGAGGACGTATGAGGTGGAAGTACTAAAGCGACATGTTTCTCAGCGTGCAACCGCTCTTGACACTCGGATAGCGGGTGAAATACAAAAATGTAAAGAATAGGAACACACGATCTCTGGGACAGTAGGTGTATTAGTCTGAAATTTCGGTCACGTACAGGAGGCCAGCGTCAGACACCGTGAGAATGCGGCATCGAATGAGCAGTTTTTGTAATCAAGCCATGAAGGGGGGATATGAGTTCAGAGGGTTGTATTCGCGATAAGCTGAGTCCCACGCCGTCTCACGGCGGCGTGACTGTGTACACCATTGGCTGGAAATTAGGTTTCGCCTCTTGGCCACGGGAACGGAGCACGTGATAGCAGGGGGGTATTTCAACGTGTCTGTTGTTAGAGTTGGTGTCAGACACCCAGGCCTCCAACAGTTCTCGCTCTGTCTTAGAGCTGGCCCGCGTTACTATTCGCGTGCTTGCGAAGTAAAATGCGTGGCCTTCCTTCAGGGTGCGAGTGGCGAACTGAGACAACGGGTCGACTCTCCGGACCGCCCGTTTATTCTCCGTTATTCGTGAGCTAGGTCGTCGTCCGGTCTGTCCTCTGTAGTGGCGCAGTCCCGACATGGGATCTAATAAACGATACCCGATTCTTCTCCTACGTCTGGTCGGTCCTTCACTCGCATGATTTTGTTGTGCATGGTCGCTGTCAGATGGTGAGCGATACCTACGCCGAGCTCTCCAGCGATACGTTCCATCGCTTCGGACACGTTCTTTATATATGGTAGAGGGTGTCAGAGTGTTGACGGCCCTCCTCCGTTTGTTCACTTTGGGTGCGTGCAGAGGCAGCGGCTGAAGCAGCGGGTATCCATTCCTTGCTAGTTAGTCTAGACGATGCCGAAATTCTCGTACTCGTCCCTCTGGCTCACTACAGTGCGTTTTTACACTTTAAAAGAGTGTCCTAACACAGCTGCGTTAATGCGCCATTGAGCGGTTACTATGGTATTTAAGACTCCGTGTCGTGTTAGTTGCCTTTCTGTACACCGTGGTGTTAAGTTCGCCGTAGGGTGTCCGTTGACATACCCCCTGCTATCACGTGCTCCGTTCCCGCGGCCACGAGGCGAGACCTAATTTCCAGCCAGGGGTGCACGCAGTCACGCCGCCGTGAGACGGCGTGGGACTCACCTTATCGCGAATACCACCCTCTGCACTCATATCCCCCCCCCCTTCATGGCTTGATTACAAAAACTGCTCATTTGATGCCTCATCCTCACGCTGTCTGACGCTGGCCTCCTGTACGAGACCGAAAGTTCAGACTAATACACCTACTGTCCCAGAGATCGCGTGGTCATCTTCTTTACAACAAGAACCTGGGATTCGCATGTTCGTTTCCATCCAGACAATATTGTGTGTGCCATATTCAGTCTTTAAGAAGAACGCATGGAGGCGCAAAGATTTATTCACTTCCTTAAGGGGTGAACGGAATGAAGCCACAAATAAGGACTCCTGGCGATTCAGGTAGGTACGTGCACAAACATCCTTACATGACACACGATATAACGCCGCTTGTTAGGACTTGCATTTATGACCAGCTAAACAGGACAAGAAAATAGGAACCGCCTGCGATACGGGTGCCTTTGAGCAAACTTCCAGTGAAACTAGGGTTAGGTTCAAGGTTCGAATTAGGATTGAATTGAGAACTTTGCTTATGACTAGATTTAAATTTGCCGGTAATGTTAGTCAGGATCAAAGCTAGGGCCAAGGTAGGGGCTAGCGTTATCTGCAGAATCGGTTAAGGGTCATGATTAGAGCAACGGTTTGCTTTATTTTAGGGTTATTGCTGGGGTTAGGGCACGGGAGTATTTTGTCCTTTCCGGAATTATGTCCAGGTCCAACTTTATTGCTTGGATGATGACTACCTATTTCATGCCATTTTTAGGGGAAGAAAGTCAGTCCTACCCTCTAGAA